TGGAATGCTTTTGTGTCATAAGCACATCTTGTCCTCGTGCTTCCGCCTCCACCCGAATCCGTGTGATTAAAGTCTCCAAGGGCGTCTCTTTTTGCTTGTGACGCATTGACTTCTGGAACTCCCTTCAAGATGATGGTAGTTTGTCAATAATACCTGCTACAACAAGATTGTCTCCAATTTTGATGTCTTTGGATCTAACTTCAGCCACTAGCATCTGAAAATCTTAAACTTGCTCCACCACTGATTTTCCATCTATTATCTGATAGCGGAAAAAACGGCTTGCAGCATATTTTTTACTATCTGCCTTTTCAGTGTCATATTTATTCTGCAAGGCTTTCCAAATTTTCTTGGCAGTGGTGTAAGTAGTATCATAATAATCATAAAATTGATCCGAAAGACAATTCAAAAGATAATACCGACATTTATACTCATTTGTGTTGTATTTCTCGATTCTTTCAAGATGAGCGGCATACTCCTCGTCGGTTATCTCTTCAATGGGGACTTTGTTCGGATTTTTCTCTGTCAAGATATAGGCCACCTCTAGACACAAATTTTAAAACATGAAGTGTTTCAACACATTTCAAAATTTTATGTTACAAATGTCCACTGTTTAGTTTTTGGACTAAACAGTGTTGATTATTTGAATAGCAGGTTTTTATTTCCGATCTATATTTCAGATCGTTAATTACACATGTTATATAGATGAAACCTCCGATTAATGAAGAACAAAATAAACAACAAAAGACAAGTTAAGAAAAATAAATATTTTATTGAAATTGTTATGGGTTTTGAACCCTCAAATACAAAAATACAATTCTTGGGTTTGGAACCCTTTACCTATTCATCGCCATTAGCGTAGGCTCTTGAGTTCTCTAGGCTTCTCTTCTTCTTTCTTGTAACGACTTCTTTAGCTCTCAATTTCTTTCTCTCTCTCTCTGATCTTTTCACTTCTGATTTTCTCTTCCCCCGTCTTGTGTGATGGTCCTCATATTTATAGAGGGCCATCAGGTGATAGGAATGCCTCATCTTCAATTTGAATTTCAAATTGAATGATAGCGCCATTTTGAATTTTGAATAATAGCGCTATCTGATTAGTCGTTTATCTGATTAACCGGATTGATCTTTGGGTTTTCATCCTGTGTGGTATCCTTGCTGTAGGTTCTACAGGTGCCATCTTTCGTAGGCTCCACGTGTCACTTGAGCATTTTGAATGACATTGTTGAGATACAACGTCGTTTTATTTATCTAGTTCAATGGATCATATTGATCTTTTTTAAGGAAGTGATTACCTACAACCTTCCTATCATAGGTTCTATACATGTCATAAATTTAGTTGAAATTTATGTGCCAACAAATGCCCCTCGTGACTTGCACAAGTGAATTTTCTTAACTGTGCGAGTCACGACAATTTGGCACTTTTATTTAGATGATCTTTAGGTCTTGGATGAAATTATTTCTTTGCTTTGGTCCCTGGGCCTTTTTTTTTTTTTGGGTTGACGGCTCTTTTTTCATGAGCCTTTTTACTTTTGTTGCATGGGTCCTTTTTTGTGGACTTGATCTTTTTTTTTTAAAAAAAAATAAAAATAAATAAACGGTTAATTGCCCTTTATAGTCCATGGGCCATTTACTTTTGTTGCATGGGTCCTTTTTGTGGACTTTATTATTATTATTATTATTATTATTATTATTATTTATTTTTTTTTTGAAGGGTCATGAGTAAGGTCCAAGATTTAATTGGGCATTTCCTTTTGTGGGCCTCCAACTTGCCACCATTTTTTGCAGTAGATTATCTTCTAGGCTATCATGGATTTTTCTAGGCCATCTTTTTTTAATTGGGCCTTTTCTTTTTGTGGACCTCCAACTTGCTACCATTTTTTTTTTTTTACAGTAGATTTTTTTAGTAGGCCATCATGGATTTTTCTAGACCATCATGGACCTCTCCTTTTGTAGGCCACCATTTTTTAATTGGGCCTTTTCTTTTATGGGCCTTTAACTTGCCACCATTTTTTACTGCAGATTTTTTTTTTTTTTTTCTAGGCCATCATGGACCTTTCCTTTTCTAGGCCACCATTTTTAATTGGGCCTTTTCTTTTGTGGGCCTCCAACTTGCCACCATTTTTTACAGTAGAGTTTTTTTTCTAGGCCACCATGGATTTTTCTAGGCCATCATGGACCTTTCCTTTTCTAGGCCATCATTTTTTAATTGGGCCTTTTCTTTTGTGGGCCTCCAACTTGCTACTTATTATTTTTAGGATTTTTTTTTACAGTAGATATATATATATATTAGGAGTTTGTCTAAATGGAATAGGATGGATTGGCATTGGTAGGATTTCTAATCCTACACAAACTCTTACTTAGCATTTCAAATCCTACCTAAACTCATGCTTCTTTGAAGTGTTTTAGGGGAACACTACCTCCTTTCTTAATCAAGGATTTTTGCTTATATGACACCTATCCATGCATACAGCCCATATATTTTCCCTGTAGCTTTCTTCCTCCCAGCAGATTGTTTCCAGCAGCCTCTTTTTTTTTTCTCTGCAGATTTTGTGGTGCATATTAGGTCTTCATTATTTGAGTATCTTTCCAGCAACAATTGCTCTTTGAGGATACAAAAGATTACCCTCTACTCCCCTCATATCAGGTTTGCTTTGCTTCTTTCTAGTTCATCTTTCTTATACTTTGCTTCTTTCAGCAGAATGAACACTTTTTTTCCTTTTCTTCTGTACAGCAAAAAACCTATTTGTTGCTGTGTTGTTTAGCATCATATATATATATATATATATGTGTGTGTGTGTGTGTGTATGTGTGTACACTATATTTTTTTCTTGCTGCCAGCTTTTAAAACCATGAGACTAAACAAAGACTTCAAAAACTGCCACAAAGATATATGGCCTTGAAAGAAAACAACCCATTTTGCTAACCATGTAAGCAAATTTTTTCTTTCTTTAAGACCAAACAGTTTCTTTTTCATATGCTTTAACTTCCACAAGATCTTCTTTTTCTTTTTTTATTTTATAACATCAATTTGTTTGTTTCTATGCTATTTGGCAAACTCTATTATATATATATATATATATTTTTAAATGGCCTACATGTCAAACCACAAGGACTTTGCATGTTGTACACAATCTGACGCTAGGTTATATCACAAGACTTTATATCTTTGTGGCAGCATCCTCTTATTTAGCCTGGCCATCCAAAACTTTGCATGCTGTACCTTTATCATTCTTATTTATTTTTTTTTGTGTACAGGACAATCTGATGCTGTTTTATAGCATCAATCTATTTGTTTAGCAGATTTATTTCATGAACTCACCATTGAATGCTGTGCTTTTTATATTATGGCAAAAACAGCCCCTTTTGCTAGCCCATAAATCCACATAGTTCTTGAAATCAGGACAACCATGTAAACAATTTTTTTTTAAGACCAAACAGTTTCTTTTTCTTGTGCTCTAACTTCCGCAAGATTTTCTTCTTCTTCTTTTTTTTTTTGGATGAAGCTAAGACCTTTTTTTTACTTAGCCCTGTAGCAAAATTTCTTTCTACATGAGCCCCTCTTTTTTTTATTACACATATATAACTTGAATAAACCTTTTTTTTTTTCTTTTCTTTTTACCTTCCAGCAGAAATTTTTTCTCCATGAGCCTTTTTATAACCCATATGAACCGCTCTCTTTTTTTTTTACATTCTCCCAAAAAAATGTATTATGTGTATAATCTGCTGTCATGTTTGTTAAGCAGATATGGCCTAGATATGAAAAAAGACAATCCATTTTGCTAGACCACAAACCTAAATAGTCAAACAAAGACCCTTTTTGAAGTAAAGACAAGCATGTAAAGATTGAAACCACACCTTTTTTTTTTTTTTTTTTCCAGCAGCAGCAACCTATTTGTTGCTGTGTTATTTAGCAGATTTTTTTTAATAGCCTATATACAAAGTCCTTACTTGTGGATATGACCAAGGAACTTGCTGCTTGTATCCCAAGTTACAAAACCTGCTTTCCCTTTGACTTCTTTGGCTAAACCCTCACAAATTTTTAGCCCCTTTTGTAGAATTTTTTTAATCTAATCTAATCAAGGCTTGCCCCTCGTGATTCGTGCAAGTGAATTGTAACTGTACGAATTACGATTGTTTTGTTTTGTTTTTTTTTTTTTGCAATTATTTCATGTCTTTTTCCCTCTTTTACAGGCAACCCGCAAGGCGTCAGAGTTTGTTTGCAGGTATCATTGCCCTTTCCAACCTAATGGCAATGAGTGGCTTGAATCCTTGACAGTGATTGTGTCTTTTCACCCCAATGGCTTGAATCCTTGGCAGTGATTGTGTCCTTCACCCCAATGGGTTGAATTCTTGGCAGTGATTGTGTCCTTCACCCCAATGGCTTGAATCCTTGGCAGTGAATGTGTCATTCACCCCAATGGTTTGAAACCTTGGCAGTGATTGTGTCTTTCACCCCAATGGCTTGAAACCTTGGTAGTGATTGTGTTCTTCACCCCAATGGCTTGAATCCTTGGCAGTGATTGTGTCCGTCACCCCAACGGTTTGAATCCTTGGCAGTGAATGTGTCATTCACCCTAATGGCTTGAAACCTTGGCAGTGATTGTGTCCGTCACCCCAACGGCTTGAATCCTTGGCAGTGATTGTATCCTTCACCCCAATGGCTTGAATCCTTGGCAGTGATTGTGTCATTCACCCCAATGGCTTGAATTCTTGGCAGTGATTATGTCCTTCACCCCAACGGCTTGAATCCCTGGCAGTGATTGTGTCCGTCACCCCAACGGCTTGAAACCGTGGCAGTGAATGTGTCCTTCACCCTAATGGTTTGAATCCTTGGCAATGAATGTGTCCTTCACCCCAACGGCTTGAATCCTTGGCAGTGATTGTGTCCGTCACCCCAACGGCTTGAATCCTTGGCAAGGGGCTTTCGTCAATTTCTTTATATTATGACATTTTGCCTTTACTAATATCTCTTTCCTTTTTTCTTTTTTTTTTTGTTAGGAAGCATGGAAAAGACAATTGAATATCTTCGACGTGACAAGAGGGATGTATTAGATACATTTGGTCTGAGAATAATTTAGCACAAACCTATCACTTCTTTATTGTCACCTACCAAGTTGGACCCCTACATCCCTTTACATACGGCTTTTGAAGACTTGGTCTATACAGGAATTCAAAACTGCTATGAGATTCTCGAGAAAGGGCATTCCAAATCAATCGGTTCATTCCTTGTCTCAATCCTCCGTCCATTTTCTGAAGACCTTGACTGCTCTGAATTTAATACTCTTCTTAAGAGAATGCAACATGAAAAATTGAATTGGGATAATTCTTTTTATGTCCGCGGCATTTCTACCCATTTGCAATCCCCTATATGGATTTTTTGGTTGAATGACGTTCTTTCCACATTTGCCCCTATTTTGAAGAAGTGTGAGATTTATACTGCAATCTATGTATCCCAATTTGCTTATGCTAGGAATGTCTCCCTGCTCAAAGGATTCTTAGAGCGGTGGTCACCCGACACCAACACTTTTCATCCCATTTACGGCGAACTTGGGATCTCTTTATGGGACCTTCATCGCATTAGCGGGCTCCCCATCCGTGGTGAGTTTTATGAAGAGTTCACCCCCTCCAATGACATTTTATATTCGTCCCAGACATCCAAGGCATGCCTTGGGCTTTTCAACATTTATGCCAGCTCTTTTCAATCCAAGAAGTTTAACCACTGGACTTTCAAATTCATTGATGAATCCTTAACTTCGATTAGTGGCTTTCAACGAAAAGATAAAATCCCTGATGATGTGTATCTTTCTGGTTTCTTGGCGAGCTGGCTTAGCAAATTTGTCTTCCCTCACTCTTCCGGGGAAATTCGTCCGACTACGTTTCATGTAGCCACCAAAATGGCCGGTGGAACCTTATTTAGCTTGGCCATCCCTGTCCTTGCGTACCTCTATCATTCTCTTGGTAAAATGGCATCATCACCTTCACTTGGGAAGGAAAATATTCAGGGTCCTTTGCATTACCTTTTTGGATGGATTTCACTATATTTTGTTAAGACTTACTCTCATGGGGATCCTTAGTCGATTTGTCCGATTCCTGATATTCATTTCATGCCATATCTTGGGTTTATTGGAAACTAATCGGCTGCTCAGTTTTTTACTGATAAATTTTCATTTGTGGACTCTCTCCTAACTTATCGTACGGAGTGTCAGTTTAGGGCTCTTACCCATGAAAGTGAACCTTCAGGCATTCTGGTCGACTCTGAAAGAATATCACCTTTCCACCTTGGCTATCTTATATCTTTGAGGCAAGGGATTTTAACTTTTAAAATGGGATTTAATTTCATTTCTGAACCGTATTCCCCTAACCGATATGGTCGTCAATTTGGGTTTGCTCAAGCGTGCCCTACACCGCTTAATGTATCTTGTCGACAGCCCTCTGAGTGGTCTAAATTTTATTACAACTGGCACCATATGTTACGCTGCGGTACAAAAGTCTCATTAGAGTTACCAGGCTCCCGATCTACTTCTCATGTAACCATGCCTTATGCCAATTGGTGGTTGGGACTTCCTTTACCGTGCTTCAATATGTTACTCATACCCAGCCGAAATCTTCAAGCAAGAGAAAACTAGATATGTCAATTAAAGACCGAAAGACGAAGAATCCTTCTTACTCTAGAGCTAGGTCATCATCTTCACCTATTACTCTGGAAGCATCATCACCTCAGAGAATGGATAATAGTCGACCACTTATTGCTCCTTCCTGATCTAGTTACTCGGTTTTAGACCTCCTTCATCTTTTCGAGGATATGTGTAATTCTCAATTTAAAATGAGATTTAGCTTTGAGCAAGTAGATTCTGGTCCTCAATTTTCTAGTCTCGCAAAGATTTTTCCAGAGACTATGTCTATCAGTGATTGTACAGGAACTTCCCAACCCACCGTAGCGACCAAAACCCCAATGGATCAATTTCGCACATACTTGTACTCTTTTCTTGAAGATAAAGATGAGAATATGATTCAAGAACTCTTTGAGAGAGATGGGTATGAATTAACTGCCTTGGGTCGTATTCGCATTAAGAGTGTTGAAGTTCCTTCTCCTACCAAATCTTTTGATTGTTCTCTCAATGGAAGTAGCGAGAGTGAAGATGAGCTTTATGACTACACCCCTCTTTTAGATGGCACACCGATTAAGATGAGTAAATTGCCCCCAGCAAATGTAGGTTTTTCTTTTCCTTCTTCGAACAAGCCATCCAAGTTATTTGAGAAAGGTATAATTCTTTCTTCTTCTTTGTTTTTTTTTTTTTTAACACCTCTCATTTTCTTAGGCACTGCACCTCGAACTTCCCCAGCTGCCTCGTATATGCCATTGGCTACCTTTAAGGGTATTCTTATTCATTCCTTGTACCTCATTTTATTTTATCATGTATACATACTCAAAGAACTCTTTTCTCTTTAGATCATGCCACATTGCAGAATCCGTGGTCCACTTGTGGGAATCACAACTTGTTTTCTCCCACACCTAAGTCTCTTCAAGCCATAAACCAAGGTATACTTCATTCATCCATATATATATATATATATATTGTTTTTACCTTCTATGTTTTCATTGAGTATCTTCTTCTATTTTTAAAGAAATTACTTGTGACGCATTGGAAGAGATAGACAAAATTACTTCTGATACCTCGGAAGAGGCCCAAATTCTTGCAGACTTACTTGAAGCAAATGGGGTTAACAAATTATTTGACAAACTTGAAGCACCCTTTGCTCCATCTAGCCTTCTTTTGGGAAGTTCCTCTAACAAAGCAGCCACCCATATTCAGAAAGGTCTTACTATTTCTCTCCAATCAATGACGGATGTTAATGGCATGATTGCTATAGCAAACAACGTTTTCATGATTTTGAAAAGTTTGGGTGTAGACTTCATCTCCTTTTTCGATAAGGTGAAGATATTCCTTGGGTGCTTTGTTTTGAAAACCCAACTTACAGATTCTTCAAACTTGTCTATTGCAGAATTTGAGGCCCAATACTATGAGAAGAAGCTTCATTTCGACAAAGTTTCTGGCGAACATGAACAGTTGTCTGCTTTAATTATCAAGTCAGATGAGCACATTGCAGGTCTTAATCAAAAGATTATTCAAACCAAAGAGCTACTCAAACAACTTGAAGAGGAATTGTCATCCACCCAAGCGGAACATGCATCCTTTATGCGTGATTTTGCACAAGCTTCTGAGAGTGTTTTTAAATCAGAAGAAAACATGGAAACTGCTCTGAATGTTTTGAGCCAGCACAAGAAGAAGAATGGACAACACAGTGTTGTGGAACGTGCTTTTGAAAGTGCTAAGGCTTCTCTTAATGAATGAATGCACTTTAATTTTGTTATTCATCCAAACATAATGTATTTATGAAATTTCACTCAGTGATAGATTTCTTTGTTATATGAAATTTCTCAATACAATACATTGATTTGTCTTATTTTAGCTGTTCACAGTTTATACTCTTGCTGGCCAGGAGTATCCAATGTTTTACCACCTTAGATTTCGGTGGGATATTTTAGTAGTTTAACCACATACAATACCGTTGGTGGGATTCGACTTTTGTTTGGCCGTACACAGTTTATACTCTTGTGGGCCAGGAGTATCCAATGTTTTACCACCTTAGATTTCAGCGGGATATTTTAGCAGTTTAACCACATACAATACCGTTGGTGGGATTAGAATTTTATTTGGTTGTACACAGTTTATACTCTTGTGGGCCAGGAGCATCCAATGTTTTACCACCTTAGATTTTGGCGGGATATTTTAGCAGTTTAACCATATACAATACCGCTGGTGGTTTTCGACTTTTGTTTGGCCGTACATAGTTTATACTCTTGCAGGCCAGGAGTATCCAATGTTTTACCACCTTAGATTTTGGTGGGATATTTTAGCAGTTTAACCACATACAATACCGGTGGTGGTTTTCGACTTTTGCTTGGTCGTACACAGTTTATACTCTTGCGGGCTAGGAGTATCCAATGTTTTACCACCTTAGATTTTGGTGGGATATTTTAGCAGTTTAACCACATATAATACCGTTGGTGGTTTTTTTTTTTTTTTTTGGCCCTAACTTTTGCCTAGGCTACCCTTTCGGGTTTTCAACCTAGCAGGCTTCCTTAAGGATAATATCTCTTTAAGAACCTTGCATTGGTTGGGGGAATGATTTTGTCACCATCCATCGTTATCAACAAATAGGCCCATTATAATAAACCTTCTCAATCACAAAAGGTCCTTTCCATTTAGGCTCAAGCTTTCCTTTGGTTCTTCATGAAACTACTATGGGTGTTCTAACCATTAGTACCAAGTCTCCCTTTTAAAGGAACGAAGCCTCACTCTTTTGTTGAATGCATTTGCCATCATTTGTTGGTAGATCTCCAAGTTCTGTTGAGCATACAACCTTCTTTCATCTAGGGTCTCCAGCTTAGCCAACCTCACTCTTGTACTTTCATCTTCTGTTAAGGTCTCTTGTATTGCCACTCACAATGATGGTATTTGAACCTCAAATAGTAACACTGCTACTCCTCCAAAAACCAACGAATAAGGGGTTGTTTGAGTAAGAGTTCTGTACGAAGTCCGATAAGCCCACAAAGCTTCTTGTAACTTTTTGTGCCAAGCTCTTTTGTTCTTATCCACCATCTTCTTGAGAATTTTGCACAATGTCTTGTTGAAAGCTTCTGCCAAACCATTGGCAAGTGCACGATATCTTGATGAATGGTTGTTTTTGATTTTGTACTTGGCAAATAACTTGTTCAAAGCATCACTCCTAAGCGGCTGTCCATTATCCATATTTGACACTTTCTGGAATTCCGAACCTGTAAATGATATGGGTTCGGATGAACTCAGAGACAACTGTGCTTTTTATATCCTTTAAAGCCACGGCCTCTGCCCATTTTGAGAAATAGTCAGTTGCAGTTAGGATGTATCGATATCTTGCTGAAGATGGAGGTACAAAAGGACCAATAATGTCCATTCCCCATGCTGCAAATGGCCAACAACAAGTTGTTAAATGTAAAGGCTCTGGGGGTTGGTCAGGAAAATTCCCATGGAATTAGTAGACTTGGCATCTTCGAGCATAATCTATGCAATCTGCAATCATAGTCGGCCAATAGTATCCCAACCGTTTTAGCTGAGTATGCAATTTAGGACCACTTTGGTGTGCCCCACATACACCTGCATGTATTTCTGCCATTACCTCTTGAATACGCTCCTTGGCTATACACCGCATATACATTCCATCCAAAGACCTTTTGTATGACCCATCCTTCCACAAGACGAATTTGATAGCCTTGCGTCTCACTTCAATTCTTTTTTACTTTATCTTCAGGTAGCCTACCATGTTGGAGGTAAGCTATGAATGGTTCCTGCCAATCCTCCTCGCTTTTTCCCTTCGTGGTGACGACCAAGATTGAAACCAAGTCAGAAACTTCTTTTAAAGGTTGTAACACCCTTCTTTCACCTACCATGATAGTAATTATTTTTCTATCTGGTAGGGTGAGTGATGCAGCCAAACTTGCAAGTGAGTCAGCTCGAGCATTTGTTCTTCTCTTTACGTAGAAAATATGTGTTTTTCTGACTTGCGAAAGCAATTGATCAGCCCTTTCATGATACGGGATGAGACTTGTTTTCTTAACAATGTATTCTCTACGGAGTTGCTTTACCACCAATTCCGAATCTCCATAAATTGAGATTTCTTCAATAGGAATTTGTAATGCCAATTCTAATCCAACAATTATAGCTTCATATTCTGCCTCATTATTGGAGCATCCTTCACTTAAGGCGAAAGAATGGGTGATTATAGCATTGTCTAGAGTCACAAACACAATTCCAATTCCAGCTTTATTGTTTTTAAGATTTTCTTGCTTCTTGCCATCTGGACTCTTTGAAGCTCCATCAAAATATATCTCCCACCCTTTCTGGATTTCTACTTGCATAACCTTTTCATCTGGTAAATCAGTTACTAGAGGTGAGTTATCAGGTATAAGATGTGCTGCCAAAAAATCTGCTAGTGCCTGCCCCTTTACAGCTCTTTGGGGAATATATTCAAT